GAGATTCATTGGCGCAACAAGGGACGGGGTGGGTGGAATTACGGTGATCAAGATCAAAAGGGGTGAGTGCCAGTTTGAGCCCTTAGCCTTCTCATACATTGACGCGTATTGTTCTTTTCTTATCGTAAAGATCAAGGCTTGCAGCAGGAGCGTTGTGCAAGACGCTTGGATTGCAGAAAATAAATACCGTCGATGTGGAACATCGCGCGAGGTGTCATGGGTTAATTGTCAAGCATCTGGATGGGTGGTCTGTTGTGTACGGCGTCGCTTTTTACTCTTCTGTTGTGTTATTTACAGCGCATCCTCAGGTTCTCAGGTGATACAGTGCCAACCCAAAAGCTCGTGCAGGCAGGTGCTGGAGCCACTCTGCTGATCCATGAGGCTACCATGGCCAACGATCAAGTTGAAATGGCACGCGCCAAGATGCACAGCACCTTTGGGCAGGCGATCGACATAGGCAAGAGGTGCGTTTCCATGCAATACAATTACAGACCTTTATTCAACTTGTAAACAGCATGAACGCACAAAACATCCTCCTTACACACTTCTCGGCCCGCTACCCCAAGATGCCACCTTCTGTATCTGAGCGTCAGGCTGGCGACCCCGTCGTTGCATTTGCATTCGACCATGCTAACATCAAGATAGGGGACATGTGGAAAATGGGCCCGTATGCACGCGCGATTGAGCAGAGTTTTATTGATATTGCTGATATTGAGGGAGAGGAGCCGGAGGTGATTGACGCGGCACACGTGGATATCAGCTGAGACCATACGATTTGAAGCCTGATAATTTACTTTCACAACCTGGGTTTGCGGAAACTTGAACATTTTATGCAGACAAAACGACAATTTTATTGAGATTCGGGGAGGGAGTGATTCCGAAGCTTGTAACGGATATCAAGCAGACTGAGGTACTAGGCGCTATCTCCCAAATACGCTCGGTCCTGCCTCGACGAAGTGCATCCTACATGGCAGATATGGTAATCTATATAAATACTGTCCGCGGTACTGAAACACGAGCTTTCAGTATCACTTTTCGTAACCAGTTTCTATGAGGAGAACCGTCGATCGATAGACGGACTGGTATTAAATGTGGGTTTGGAGATTTGGATACAGTCGCTTTGGAGTCATCACATGACGGAAAACCCTTAGACACTGCTTAGATAAGTCTGCTATCGTTGCTGTCACATCAACTTCTTTCACTGCGTTAGTGCAGTGGTTGCAAAGCTCTCCTCGACTCAGAAGCACTCCAGAATCCAGGATGTCTCAAGGATGGTCTGAATGTGATGTAGACCCCTTGACGCTGGCCGAAACTGATGACAATCACCCCATGGAATCGCCTATATCAATCCCTACTAGGCTACTACACCGAGTACCTAACACACCTGCGTGTTCTGCAGATGTTCAAGTGGTGAAATTGTCATGCTCATAGTGCGCAGACGTTGGACAAAGTAGAATAGGAATGATGTGACGGAGGGTCTTCCTGTACCAGCTATAAGCCTATAACCATGGTCACAGTCATCTAGCGTTGCGAGAATGGCCTCAAGTTGGAATTGTCATGAACGATTGTTGCTGCAAGAGCATCCTTGCAAGTACTAGTATACCCAGTCAGATCAAGAAACTAATTATTACAGTAGAATCACGGAAAGCTGGAGGACTCTTGGATGGAAGTATTTTTAGAGACACGCACAATGACAGTCAGATAATGAATGTCTGCCAATGTTCCTTTGCAAGGGCTTTGAAGGTGAGAAAACGCTCGAAAGTAATGCGCCTGTACTCCGGTGTCCCCATGCCTTCGCTGAGAGGCCGCGATCGATTGAGGGCTGGTATGGGTTAGTTAATTATGTGACGACTCCAAAGCGCACATTATTTGCGTCTGTTTGTTCTCCGAGTCTAATCACTTTTGGCGTAACGGTTCAAGCGCGGACCACATCCTTGACAGCCCGGTGATCATAGTATTCACCCTTAGATCATCATCATGGTTAAATCACCCAACCCGCGCCGCGGCGCCGTCCACAATAAAATTGCTCCCTGATTCAATCATCCCATCGTCTCCCATACTTCTGCAATTATCATTTCATGTCTCCTGATCCTACGTCTCAACAGCCGGACGAGGAAACGCCTTTGCTCCAATCGGAGGGAAATAGTACACCGGTGAAGAAACCACAGACACCTCTACCATGGCGCCAGTTTTCAATGCTCCTGGTGTTGCAGATTGCAGAGCCAATGACATCGCAAGTTATCTCACCTTTTGCGCCACAGGTCAGCGTTTATCATTGAAGATTTAAATAAATAAAGTTACAACTTGATTGATGTAGCTTATTCGTGACATTGGAATCACCCACGGAGATGAAGCGCTCGTTTCGTTTTATGTTGGGTTGTTGGTGAGCGGATCAGTAGAGAGCGTTTTCATTGTGGTAATCTCGGCGTTTTGATCTAGCACTCGCTATTCTTTGCGACAGAAGCGCTCACCATTTTCCACTGGAGTCGTCTCTCTGACTATATTGGTCGCAAACCTGTCCTGCTAATTGGACTGTTTGGACTCTCTCTCTCGATGTTTTGCTTCGGTTTGTCCAAGACATTCTGGAGCTTGGTGATAAGGTCTGTTCTGTTTCTGTGTTGTCTCCTTTTCGAGTCAGAGTTCACATCTTGTTGTAACAGTCGTTGCCTGAACGGCGCACTCAATGGAAACATTGGTGTTATGAAGAGCATGACGGCTGAAATAACAGATTCGACTAATGTGGCCCGCGCATGGGCATTCCTCCCTCTTGCCTGGTCCAGCGGTAGCACACTCGGGTGTGTCCCGCCAAGTTTTCGTTTTCTAGATATACTGAAACAACCACAGGCCACTCATCGGCGGAGAACTTGCGCGGCCTGCGGATAGGTTCCCTAATATCTTCGGGGATTCTGCATTTCTAAAGAAATATCCATATTTCTTGCCATGCGCAGTCCCTGCCACAGTATCAGCGTTGACATGGATTATCGCTTTTCTTTACTTGAAGGAGGTATGTTATCTCATCGTATGACAAGATGAATCTTCATATCAGTCGCAGACCACAACTCCTCGAATAAACATAAACCAATTGCTACCTTGGAAAAAGCGCAAGATTTCCCCTTCACCGACTCTAGAACCCCTGCCAGTATCATCTACGATCAGCGACAAGCCTGTCCCCATTCGAGCTCTTTTCGTTCGTCGCGTGCTCATTGCAACCGGAAGCTACGCCGGGATTGCCCTCATTGATATCGCATTTCGCACTGTACAACCCGTGTTCTATGCTACTCCCATATCGCTGGGTGGTCTAGGGCTTGATACTCCAACCATTGGGACTATCTTGGCGCTCCAGGGAATATTAAATGGCGCAATGCAGCCATTGGCCTTTGCTAGACTTTATGATATCATGGGTGCGAAAAAACTTTGGCTGTTCGCTGTAACGTGTGCCCTGCCTATGGTTGCTCTCCTCCCGACCTTGAATACGCTGGCGAGATCTAGTGGCATTGTTCAGAGTATATGGTATTTGGTGACCCTACAGGTTGCTTTGATGGGCTGCACGAGTTTTGCATATGGTTTGTCGTCGTCGTTCTCTCACTGATATTTCTGATGTGTTACGGAAGGCATCTCGTTTATGTATATCACTGCGGCTTCCCCTAACCGAGCGTCCGTAGGTGCGACAAACGGGTTCGCACAAGTGATCGTTTCTATCATGCGCGCTGTTGGACCGGCTGCAGCCAACTCCGCGTTCTCAATTAGCATTGAGAAACAGTATCTTGGAGGGAATCTGGTGTATTTTGTAATGCTAGGTATGGTGTGCATGGCGATGGGCGTCGGTATCTTGTTACCTCGCACTATGTGAACTAACTAGCTTAGAGCGAAGCAAGTCTTATTTGTTGTGTCAATTTGAACTCGTTAGCCTTCGCAGCGTTTCTTCAGGCAGTTCGTCTCCTGACGCACCGGGAGTCTCATGTTTTGCTTCAATGTATCCAGAGTTCGAGGTTGACCGAATGCCTTGAAGCACGAAAGGTTTTATCTTATTGACCAAAGAGCATCCCAGGGTAGTCTCCCCGAGGAGGTAGATATAATTATTCGCACTGTTGTTCTAGGCGCATCGAAGTATCCTGGTAGTCTGGTTTAGCGCGTCAAGGTTTATTTATCAAATGGCATCTTAGTATCGAACCAACCTTCGAAATTCATAGGCAGCCACATTTACCCGATATAGTAATCAGACACCGTTCCAAGTTCCCCCGCCATTTTGGTCTAGATAGACGAGGAATGTAGTCATATCTAACTAGAACTGTGATGTTAGCTCTGCCTCCAAACTCAAAACGAGATTCGTGAAGAAATTGAAAGCATGTTTAGGGAGCGAGGAATGTGGTGTCTGACTTCGACACCACATTCGTCGCTCCAAACTCGGATAGCAAACGCGGACTGTCTTTCTATTTTTTTTCAGGACGACAATGTGTGACAGGGAGTGAATCAGCAAATCAACTTAGCGAGAGGGACATGTGATAGTCCGTACCATACGTTGATGGGAGCATCCTGTTATCGCAGTGACAGCACTGTGGCGGTGGTAGCGTGAACAAAATTGGGTGGGAGGAGGCCGGCGCGCGTGCGGTCACAAGTTGCGCGACCATGTGTAATAACGCTGGCTAAGGATGATAAGTCATGATAAGTCTTATTGATTTGCACAACTGACATGGGTGGGAGGTGAGGTTGTGATAGAGCTATAAAGAGCTCCTGCATCCCCATTATCTTTAATATATTCACTCACCGACCAACGCTCTTCATATTGCAAAGTATATCTCCAATGGCAGAACCTAAGGTAGATCTTGCATCGCTCTCGCTCTTCCGCGCGACGCCTGCGCAGACTGAAGAGTCACGGCGCCGGACTTTCCCGCAGTGGGGTGGCACTCTGAGTCAGACGGACTACCTTGCGCGAGATGCGGCGATGGAATTGGGCGAATACGCCAAGGATGGAAAGTGGATCACTTGGTGAGCGCTCTACTTTGCTAGTGAAGGTGAGCTGATGAAAGAGAAGGATACTGGCGCCACGGGACGACCCCACAACACTTGATTTTATGAGTGCCTGCGAGACGTAAGCGAATCGATTTTCCTTGACAAAAGAGCAATTTCTGACGTGTCTTTGGGGGCAGATACAAGCGCACAGGTCTCGTCGCTTACCCCTCTTCCTCTCCATCTGAGCCCAACTCAGTGCACGAAGCAACTTGTTATGGTGTCGCCTGCGTGTTCACTCCACCCTCGAAGCGCGGGCGCGGTTACGCAAACCATATGATGAGCCTCCTGCATTGGGTCAATGCCTCGCGTGCCAATCTTCCTGAATTCCCCGAGGCATGGGGTACACCGCCAGAAGAGGTAGCAGATGCTGGTGGAGGTCTATTCTCGGTGCTGTACAGTGATGTTGGGGAGGAGTTCTACCGGTCGGCTGGCCCTGGAGGTAAAGGGGGCGGATGGGAGAAGCGAGGAGCGATCTCAACTATTTGGGAGGTGGGCACAGAGGAAGGTGATGATGAGGGATGGAATTGGTTGACAGAAGAGCAATTGAACGGGCTTTGGGAGCGTGATGCCGTTCGGATCAGGAAGGAGCTGGCGAACATGCCAACGAGCGACAGCTCATATAAGGTAGAGCGCCCAGCGGCATTCGCGACATACCTGTCAACGGATGGTGTCTGCGAGTTCCACATCACAAAGTCAACGTTCGCCTCCAATTTTTCCATGGCAGACGGATTCTGGGGCGTAGAGTCCACGAGCGACCCAGGGACATATGCAAGCTGGAGCGTTGACTTGAAACCGCCTCCAGCAACGTTGATCGTCACGCGACTCTGCGCTAGTGAAGAGATGTTCCCTGGGCTGATTGCGAAGATCAAACAGGCGGCTAGACGAAGCGGAATTGGAAAAGTAGAAGTGTGGAATTTGAGAGTAGGATTGAAAGAGGTCGCGGAGAAGACGGGTGGGCGGACGTTCATACGAAATGAACATTTGCCGCAGATAGTGTGGTATGGGCCTGGAACAACGGGAGATGTAGAGTGGGCGTGTAATGAGAAGTGAGTCCTCTTGCCGTCCAAAATAAGGGATTAGCTGACGGTGTTCAACAGATTCTGCTGGTGCTGATACGTTTGCGGGACAGCCAGCTGAGTGATGTCTAGTGAACATTAGAATCGTGTATTCTTTTTACAGAGTTTACACAAAATCACATTGCGAATGACTCCATGAGTGACTATTCAGCAATTCACGTTTCGAGTCACGTGGGAACTGAAATTGGAAAGGTACTCATTTCTTAGGAGCCTTCGAGTTTAGGGGAGACTACCGTGATAGAACTTGCTTGGAATCTCCTTCCCTTTTCTTTGTCTAACCTTTTAGCATGACTCGAAGTGAAGAAAGATTCGAATTCTTTCCTCGGATTGCAGACGTTGCTGACAGAACTCATGCCGGAGATGGGGATATCTCCGCTAGACCACTCGAAGAGATCGAGTCTCTTTGCATGCAATGTAGGAAACAGGTGGGTTCACAACATTCCTATGACTGGTAGAATACTCACTTCCGTCAGGGAGTGACGCGCATGATACTGACATCAATTCCGTTCTTCCAGGAAGTAATTGTGATGAGTTTCTGTTGCCAACACTGCGGCCACTCAAACAATGAGATCCAATCAGCAGGGAAGATCAGACGTGAGCACTCATTTCATCTCTTTACTTCCACCTCCTAACATTGTATCTCCGAGGCAGCTGAAGGCGTTATGTACACAGTCAAAGTTCTTAACCGCGGTGACCTTGACCGCCAACTCATTTGTTCCGAAACATGTAATATCAACATCCCCGAGTTTCAGCTAGTTCTTCCGCCCCCCCGCGGGCAGCTTACAACTGTAGAGGGTCTTCTCCGGAAAACCGTTGCGGATATCAGCGTACAGCATCCACACATTCGAGACAAGAACGCCTACGCTAAAATCCAGGAAATTGTTGATGGTCTCAAGCAGATCATTGCCGATGATGGAGACGGAGACGAAGGGAAAGTCACGCATGAGAAGAGAGAACTTTTGAACGAGGACCCAGTCACACATGCAATCACCATCACTCTAGACGACCCATCTGGGAATTCATTCCTCGAGTTTGTGGGCAGCATGTCTGATCTGAAGTGGAATATGCGCACGTACGAGCGGTCGCTCGAGCAGAACCAGCAGCTGGGATTTGTACCATCTGCAGAAGACTCGGAAGAAAATACAGCAGACAAGGGAAGACAGGAATCTGAGGGTTTGAACGAGGAATTGTTCGAATTCCCTGGAATCTGCCCGCATTGCGGACGACCACTCATCACCCGCATGAAAAAAGTTTCTATCCCCTATTTCAAGGTATGTACCGAGGGAACGCTGAATCTGCATTCCTGACAACCCCGCCAGGACTCTCTTATAATGTCAACTAATTGTGACGACTGCGGATATCGGGATAATGAGATCAAGTCAGGGGCTGCAATTTCTGGGCAGGGCAAGAAGATCATGTTGAAGGTTGAAGATAGAGACGACCTTAGTCGCGACATACTTAAAGTAAGTGCATACACTATATTTGAGATTTTTTGACTCAATAATGTCCTGTAGAGCGATACGAGCGGTCTCAGCATACCAGAGATAGACCTAGTTCTTCACCCCGGCACACTAGGGGGACGTTTCACGACTTTAGAAGGCATATTAGATCAGGTATACGATGAACTCACTGAGAAAGTCTTTAATACAGGGGATTCTGGGGTCACAGATATCGATGACAGGGCCGAGTTCCGGGAGTTCTTGAGAAAGCTTGAGCAGGTGTGTTTTCTTCTCTTTTTAACATCATAAGATTCTGATTTCGCAATTAGGTCAAGAATGCTGAGATTCCATTTACCTTGATTCTAGATGACCCCTTGGCAAACTCACACGTGCAGAATTTATATGCACCTGATCCAGATCCAAACATGGAGATCGTCTTATACGAACGAACGTGGCAGCAGAATGAAGATCTTGGACTGAATGACATGAATGTGGAATCGTACGACGGTGATGATATGAAGGGTGCTGAAAGTTAAGAAGTCATGGCAATGAAAGATGCAGACTCGGATAGTTTCAATTGTCTATCGTTTGCGTTGGGTCATTACTACTAGCCCGTCACTGCGAGTCACGACCCGAGACAGACACTCACGGAACTATATGATCATTTGCATCTTCTACCATCTGTTCAACAACTAGAGTAAGAGCTTCGATGAGTGTTGCTTGAGTGTTGCGGCGATGAGAGCGGCTGTCAATCAATTCAAACGCGTTCAACACTGATCACGTGATCATTGATAATTTTCGATCGCCCACTTCTGAAGGAGTCTGGCATCTGCAACCCGAAAATTCTGCCTCGTAAACATCTTCTGCATCTGGCCACGTTTCAGACGCTGAACGTATCCAAAAATGCAAAGCGACGACGTGATATGGTCTGTGATTGGCCATGAATTCTGCTCGTATAAAGTCAAGTACGTCCACCGCCATGATGTACCCTGCATAACCTCACATATCATACATGCTACAGGACTGTCACTCAGAATTTCTGCCGGAATGAATACAATGTCACGGGTCTGTGTACGCGGCAGTCATGTCCACTTGCTAACTCGCGGTATGCGACGGTGAGGGAGAATGAGGGCAAGTGTACTTGATTCAATCTCATATGTCATGATTGATATCCGCCCAGGTGTGCTGTATCTGTGTATAAAAACGATTGAGCGGGCACATACACCTGCTAATATGTGGGAGAAGATTGAGTTGTCAAAAGACTATTCCAAGGCACTAGAACAGGTGAATTGGCTCCAGGCTCAAGCTGCTTTCGATTGACGTGCTTTGCTTCCGTCATCCAGATCGATAAAGAGCTAAAGTATTGGCCAAACTTCACTATTCACAAATGCAAACAGCGTGTCACCAAGATAACCCAGTATCTCATCAAAATGCGGCGAATAAAACTACGACAGGAGTGCGTCTTCAACTTGTGTGACCTGTTACTACTCATTTACACTTATTCAGGCCAAAGCTCGTGGGCGTGAAAAAGAAGTTAGATAGACGCGAAGCGACACGGGAACGCAAGGCTCTCTCTGCTGCCCACCTTGAAAAATCCATCGAAAAGGAGCTGATCGAGCGGCTCAAATCAAAAGCATACGGCGATGCGCCACTCAACGTGAACGAAAGTGTCTGGCAAACAATCCTCGACCGGGAAAAGAGTGGAAAGGAGAAGGAATTGAATGTTGGTGCTCAGTTGGATATGGAAGATGATGAGACGGATGGGGAAGAGGAAGAGGAGGAGGAGATGGAGGAGGACTGGGACGCAGAAGGGGGCGAGTTTGTTAGTGATTTCAGTGGAGATGAAGATGGTGATTTGGATGATGAACTGAGCGATTTGGAAGATGTGGTAGACGGAGGACTGGGTGCAGAGGAAAGTGAGGATGACCAGTCAGACGACGACAGCTCACCAGAAGATGAACCACCATCCAAAACTGTCCTTGGAAAGCGGAAAACCAAGCCAACAATAGCAAGGGCACCCCCAAGAAAGAAATTGGACAAGCCAGGGAGAAGTTCGTTGTTTCTGAATTCGACATCCAGGGACTTATCATTACTCTTTACAGGAGGCCCGAGGGTGGAAGTGGAAATCGAGCGAGAAATGGAGAGTGTACCACTCACAAGGTCCGCATTGGCCAATTGGTAGCCACTGGGGACCTGGGTCCTCAGCTGTTCTACATATATATATATTCCACTGTGGTACGAGCAGCCATATTCAAGATTCGTGAACGATCTTGATTATCGATGAGACACATGAATCAGTTCTCGATAGGCTGATCACCGTCATCATCACCTGCTCTCGCCAATGTTGTTTTCCCCCATTGAATGAGCTCTGACAACCGTGGCTGGGATGCCAGTAGCTTCTTGCTCAACAGCGCTCGGAAGACCTTTCGACAAAACTCGGCATAAGTTACTCGCTCCTCCCCAGATAACAGGCTCTGGTGTGCAAGTCATTAGCTCCATGATCAGACATCAAGGCAGTTGCACAAACTTCATAGTTGTTTCTCATAGCTGAGAGCATAGAAACCAAGAAGCCAAGATACTTGTAGTTGACGGGATCTGTATTATCTCGCAAACGCTCAGTAAGATTGGCAAATGCCGCTGGTTGACGATGAGCGGCGTATTTGACCCTGATAAACGAATTCTCACATGCAATCAGCGTCTGCCGGACTGTCGAATATTCTTCTAGCGATATCTCGAATGTAGATGATCCTGTAGACGGCTCGGCCAGCACGCCACGTAGAAGCGGGTGTCGAAGACCGTCTAGAGTGAATATGATGGATGCATACTCGTGTTCGATTGTCGTCTTGGAGGGAACAGTACATGTGAGGAGGACTTCGATAAAGTAGTCCTCATATGCCTTCAAGCGATGAGTATTTTTCTATGAGAAACAAAAATTGAACTTACATTGTAAGCCTTCGAATCAAGTCTGAGAAGTGCAAGGCAGAATCTAAGACCAACCCGGCGACGCCATAAGGGATCAGGTATCCGCTCCCATGATTCAGGTCCAAGGTGCATGTGGTTTTTCCAACTCTGAAAAGGAAGAGCTGAATAACAGCAGTCGAAAGAGGTATCGAAACAAACCGATCCATTCTGAACCAGCACATTTCCGACTCCTACCCAACAATCAATCCATCTATCAGCTGTCTCACGGCGACTATCGACTGTGCTTGGCGCGGGGGAGTCAACTACATATCTGCAAACAACCCGGAATATTGCTGAAGCAAGCGGTCCGCAGATCTGAAAACTGTCAGGGAAAAATATGGGAGAAACAACCAGAACGACCTTGCAAACTGCTTCTTCCTTCTTCTTCCACTCCATCCCAGAAGTTTGTGCAGGCTCGTCACCAAGAGCAGCTAAGATTTCTGGATCGTTCAAGTCGATGAAGAACTTGTCGTACTCATCCTGGCTCTCCTGATTATCAACACTCGATGATATTGGTGGTGCGGTGGGCCGCGGTAAGGCCCTCATTCGAGCATCCAGAAAAGCTGACACCACCTCTTGGCACGAAGCACTCGAATTCTGCTCTATGGCGACAGGATTCTTGGGACTGAAGACGTCCTTTACCCATGCTGATGAAGAAGGCAAAGTCAGGAAATATCTCGTTGGTTTTAGTCAACCACTTACGTCCTTCCAGAAAGGCAGGATCTGGATACTCATGTCGCTCATCCGCAGTGTCCAGTGAGCATGTCTCAATCATACGAACAACCGACGTGAGAAGACTCTTGACCATCTCCACTGTCTTGTTCTTCACGATATTCTTGTTGTCTTTATTTGTTAGCGTGCGCGCCTCCTGGTATTCGTCCAGCAGGATGCCGGTAACCTCGGCAAGCCAGTTGAGAATTTCTCCAAGCTGTACGCGGTGATGTCGCATAACAGCGCAAATATGCTCAATGCCTCGAATGCATACAGCCCTAGTGAAATCGTGTGCATCTTTGAAGTTGACGCATCGTCGAGCTTGCCCAACGCGGTGTCGAACGTTGGAGACGGAGGAATCAAGATGAATAGCGACTGCCATAGCATTGAGTCGGTTGAAAAGCATAGAACTCTCCTGCCCAGTTGGCTGAACGGCCCTCGTCGATGACACCGAGCCAACTGGGACGACCATGTTCAGCATTTTCTTCACCTGTATGTCCCGTTGTTTTTTCTCCGCGTCACTCGTGCTGTCCGCCTGCGCAACTTGTACGATCATCTTGAGGAGCACCTCGAATACGTTGTCGCCCCTGTCTTGTACTGAAAGCAAAGAAATGTCCCTTTGCACCATGAATTGCATAAATTTAGGCTGCTCGTGGCGGAGACTGGCAAATCTACGGCTCCTGAATATTTCCACGAGGTGGTTGAACATTATCATTGCATCATCCAAACTCCAATGCCAACGCTTCCACAAGAGGAAGCATCGAGAAGCGACGACGGAGACGTACTCGTCTCGTTTGTTGAGGGATGCAGTATGTGTGAGTGCATCCTTCTGTGGATCGGCAACTAGGGAGATGAGCTTCAGAGTAGTCAAAACCGTTTCCCATGAAGGTGCGATTCTACTGAGGGATGTCGACATCCCGTGCACAGAGAACTGTGAGAGCGCACAAAAAGAGAATACATTCCGCCAAACATACTCGCTCGCCTCAACTGCTGTGATGAACGATGATGCTTCGTCTTGGATCAACTGTTTGAACAAAAGCCAAAATGGCTCCGATGATAGTTTACCAGGAGACTCAGGCGTGCAGTTGATCAAGAGGTGAAAGAGGCATATCCATGACTCTACAGCTTGAACGGCAGTTGAGTCGGTCTCTAGAGGGCCATCGGGTTCCCTAAACGATGCTAAAATGTCCCGGAGGTCTACATCTGACAGGGGTCGCATGAGCAAGAGCGCAAATTTGAACAACTCTCGGGTCTCTGATGACCCCCGCCGAGTTCTTGCAGCGTGCATGATCCGTGCAGCGAGCTCTACTGCAAACCAGCAAACAGGTAATGAGAATTGATGAAAATTAGCCTCCAACACCCGCGCCACTAAAGAACCCATAGTCTCGTGTACCGTGAGCTCTAGCGAACTGAATTCCTGGTCGTCGATGCTGAGACACTGCCACGATACCAACTGGCACACCGTTCGCATTGCGAGTTCCCAGTCCTTCCCAGTCACAGCCGTCCACTCGTGTCCTTTGAGCACGTCATCCGCGAGCTGATCACACAAGGGTGCAATTACAGTCGTAAGAACGTGCACCGATGTGTCAGGTCCAAGGTCGAACCCTCGAATAACATATGACATAGGAGCAACAGGCTGAGCATGCCCTGTAACGAGGCATATCAGCTGGTGAAGAAACCCGTGGCCAATATACGTTCCGGCCGAGAACGCAATCCCTGAGGGCAAAGAATCGATGCCCAAGTCGACTGTGGTCAACAACGCCCGTTGATCTACAGCATGCATAAACTCGTGGACGTCGTTATAACCCTTCCTACGCACAGGTAGTAGTCGTTCGCGTGGCGGATCTAGTGGTATATCAAAGTCAACGTGGCTACGACGCGGACCGACGCGGGAGGGTGGAGGACCTGACTCAGCATGTGATTTTCTCTGGTGTTCATCCTGACTGGATTCCACACTAGATTGAGGTTTAAAATCAACACGCGAGACCGAAATTTGCTGGCGCTTAGATTGGGTATCTTCTCGACGAACTCGGGATGAAATCGCAGACGCAGGCTGCCGCATTGATCCAGGTTGCCTTTGCCACCTATCTATCTCCTTCCTCCAAGTCGGGTCCAGCGCCTGATGGAATCCTTCATCACCCAGATCAATTCGCAGACCCCTTCGCGCAATATGCGTGCCAGATTGGTGGAAGCTGTAGAGCTCTCCCTCTGCTTTCTTGCGCTTCTTCTTCCTCCGTTCCCTTCGTAGTGCCTTGGACTCGCGCTCCGCTGGTATTGTCGATTCTGTCCGCTTATGGACCTTGTGATGATGTGAATGCTGAGAGCGGTGGTCATGGTCAGAAGAAACAGCGGGGAAGGAGAGAAGGGTCTGATTGCCCATTCGCGCGCCACCTGTTACAACGTTGAGCTTTGGCCTTGAGTGTCCACCTCTGCTTTCACCCATATCTCGGGATTTTACACCGGAACCTCGGGGCCTCCGACTTGACTTGGCTCTCTGCTTTCTCCCACCACCCACCGTCCTAGTCCGCGTAAGCATCCAGTCAATCAGACTCTTCTCATGCATAGGCCGACGACTTCGGCTCCATGCGTCGATCCGTGCATCGTCGATCATACCGTCGCTTTCCTCGCCATCACTCTCTGATCCACTCTCGGAACTGGAAGAGATGATGATGGCTGGAGACCTTGATCTGACTTTGGGAGATGCCCGCCGACGAACTTGTGATACGATGTCTGGTACCTCAGCATCCATGTCCTCTTCTCGAAGAATTTCGACATCCGAGCTCTCAGGGTCTCCCTGAATCATAACATCACGTCCACTAGCACCCATTCGGACGCGTGCATGTCCAGGTCTCAAGGGCTCGTCGCCACTATCAGACGGCGTTGGAGAATGCGCTCGTTTGGTACTGGCAAGAATTTTCGATTGGGAACCTTGCTGCTCGAGCTGCTTCTTGATCATGACTGCGGGCATCATACGCTGCAGGAGGCGGAAACGTTTGCGATCTTTGGAAGAAATTTCGGGAGAAGGACTGCTGAACTCCTCGCGAGGCTCACGGGCGAGGGGATCATCATCGGACAAATCCAAGTGATTGCTCCCATCAGGCAATGTAGACGAGGAGCGTGGTGGTGTTGACGGTGCCGAGGGAATTTCAATTGCATCGTCATCGGTATCAGGGTTGACATTCTCCGCATTGATCGGGTTGTGGTCGTTGTGGTCGAAGAAATTATAGTAGTCGTAGTTATCATCTTGTTGATACTCGTATTCGTCGGTCGCAGGGGGATTCCTTGCCAGCGAACGGGACTGAAGCTGTGAAGGATCAAAACGAAGGGAATGCGAGGGTGAGGACGAGCGGGAAGGAGACGGTGTGTCACGCTGCTTTCCCTTCAAAAGCCTGGATAGGACTGGCGGAGACCGCTAAATAAAGAAGATATCCAGCGCGTCAGTATATAACAAGTGTTTCCAAACGAATCTCACCTCGTCTAAGTGAGATAGAGACCGTCTCGAGGATACTGAAGATGATCTCGCAGCAGGCTGCTTTGACGATGATGCTGCCAGCGGGAAATTCTTCAAACGTCTCTTCCTCACAATTTCTTTCGCGACAGCCTCTTCCTGCGCTCTCAGGCGAGCTTCTTCCTTCTCCCTCTTCTTTGCCTCAGCTTCAGCCTTCTTCCGAGCTCTCCTCGCATCCCTCGCTAACTTGCGAACTTCATCTGTTCCCTCAATCTCGTCGCTTTCAGACAGATCTCTAAGAGCCTCAGGGAGCCATCCTTCCTCCCGTTCACGGTTATGATGATCAGCTTCAGCAATGGTGACCTGCCTCTGTTGCCTCCTTCCTTCCACATCCACATAATCTCGGTCCTCCTCCGGATTGTCAACTGGAAAAATATACTCTGCTTGGGTTCCACCTTGTGTCTGCCCATCGGCCCACTGTGACCCATCTTCATGCATCTCACGACGTTGCGGACTCACAAACTTCACGATCGCATCGGGGTTTGCCTTCATCTGCGCCTTGTACTGCGCCTTGTCAAACGCGTACGGTTGAAGCTGACGTGCCTGCCTGCGGCGAAGGGTATAACGGCTGACTGGTTCTGGGTCCTCGGGGATACCGAGAGGTGGAGGAGACGGGGGTGGTATTAGATCCTGTGATTGTACAGCCGGGGATAGGGGGTCTTGAGTTATTGGCGTGATCGGGGTCAACGGGCGTCTTGAGCGGGTTTGAGGAGAGATGAGAAGCAGCTCGTCAGGGGATAGATATCGACGACCAGAGGGATATGCGGTGCGCGGCAGCGTATCTCGGATTATATGGGTAGGCTTTTCAATACTCTGGGGAATAAGCCCCTGAGACGATTGCGTCGGGGGCCCCGGGGAAGAGAACAACGACCACGAGTCTGCTGGGCGCGACATGGAAGGGGATGGACTCAATATTTGTCCCTCATTTTGAGACAGAGCAAGATGTGCTAATCTCTGAGAAGAATCAAGAGGTTGAGAAGGGAACACCGCGGACGCAGGCGATGACGGGAAGAGGGCGTCATCTAGCTGAGATGGAGAAGAATCAGGAAGCGGCAACTGGGAATCGGCCTGTGGCTGCACGTCGGCTGAAGCAATGGGATGATGGGACATGTTTCCAGATTCAGCTGGAAGAAGTGAGGGAGGGATACTTAGGTCGTTGGAATTCGGCTCCTGAATATGTGGGTATCGAGTCTCGTTGCGCAATGACGCTTCGGGTGCATCGGCAGCTGGAAAGGATAGGTCGGAAATATGGTTGAACGAAATTTGCATTGGTGAATGTGGTGCACTTGTATGCAGTACAGAAGATGTAGTAGTTTTCACAGGCGATGCATGGGACGACGAATTAATATCGACAATCAGCTGCGATTCAGATTCGCTATGAGTTGTCTTGAGAAGTAATGAGCACCGCAGTAAGATTAATATAGGAATATCAACTCTACCTTGGCACGTTTCCGTGGGGAGGGTTGATCTTCTTGCCTATCATTAAACCTTCCATGCAACTTGGTGGTAGGTCCTGAATTCGGTCGCGTCTTCTTGGAGGGGAGATAGGTGTAATAATCTGCCTCTGAGGCATCAAATTCACGTTCTTCAACGTCGGATGTGTCCACGACTTCATCAAGGTCCATGCAGAGAAATTGAATTGGATTCAGTGATAACTTTAAGAGACAAGGTCGAAACAGGTCGAAGTCGATGTGACAGTTCCACGCGACGTGATTTGTCACGTGATTGTGACCACATACTTACTAGGATGACATCTGATCACCCCTATTAACTCTCTCTGTTTGTGGTTTTCTTGATTCTAATATGTAGTGACTCGCAGTCCGGTACTGAACATGCACCTGACAGTTCGATTTTTTCCAGTGATCTATGTACTACAGCTCAAAGATTGGATGGTGCATACAAGAAAGAGATTACAAGTTAGTAACACAGGTTTCTATCAACAAATTTCGTCTGAAAGAAGATGAGATCTGTGATTGGCAGCTAAATGAGCTAAGTAGTGTATATTCGACTAAGATCATGACTTGTCCCAGATACAGTCGAACTGAAACTAATCTTCCGAATATGCATCAGAATCAGGATCGTAATCATAATCTGAATGTAATAGTGCCTGCATGTAGTCCTCCCCAGAGGATTCATCCCTGCAAATGTGACAAAGACAGCCACCTCCCGAGCCGCTGCCGCCCACCAAGCCCTCTTCATGCCCGTCCCAATCGACGTCCGTAACCACTTCCTTGAGGAACTGCACTCTATCGTCCACCAGATTTCTGCACTTCACTAGTCGGAGTTCGTGTATACCGACACCATGACCGGCTCGCATTATGGCAATGTCCTGAAGTTCTTCAGCTTCACCGCATCCAAAGTCGATATTCTCGAACTCTAGAGCATGAAGCGAGGGATATGCCATATCCGAACTTTGTGTGCCTCCACTTTGTAGCACAGCAATCAGGCTTCTCATATTGCAGGTCCCACTCAGCTGAATATTTTCAAGCTCCGGAAGGTCACTGGACCCTACGCGCCAGAAGTTTTCTCGGAGGACAAGGGATGATGTCACAAACAAGCTTTGAATTTGGCGATGCGGGACCATCTGACACATGTCAAATATGATGGGGGGCTTTCTAGTGGATGAGCTGCATTTGAATTGAATCGAGAGTAGTATATCATCGTTATGAGGGTCCCAAGAATACTTGGATTTGAATGCCGTTGACGTGCCGAATTGGACGCCGAATGTATGGTACGAAAGACTGGCACGCATCGACCGAATGATAGGACCTGATCCGTCAGGATCCTTGTGCATGGCCGAAAATAGGTCGGAAAGGCAGCTTCCAATTGGTGCTAGATTGAGAGCGATCTTGACATCAACGGGAAAGGCGAGACATGAAAAGAGAGATATGGCATTTCGGAGGGTGCAGGCGTCCAGTGCTATACTTTTTAACCGAGTGAGTGGAACTCGGTCAGAAAGCTCGGTGTCCTCGGAAATTCTGGATGACAGCCCGAGTGTCAGCTGCTCCAACTCAGGCATACGTCTCAGAGTTGACAGGAGCTGCGACAGAGTAGGATAAGACGCAGATCCTATTCGTCTCACATCTAGAGTTCGAAGCCCGCTAAAAATACACGACGTCCAGCTGAAGGTACATTCCATAAGCTCAACGCTCCGAAGTTGGGGGGCTCGTCCTTGAAAAACGGCATCTGATATGGACCCCATGACTCTGAAGTTGGATTTCCCCGCGACTGAGAATTTGAATGATTGAAGCAACGGCGCGGGTTGCGATGATAAGTAAGCCAAAATGCGATTGACATCCCATGGATACGAGCACAAGTGGAGCAATTTGATGCGAGGTAACTGCGAAAGAATCTGCTGGAAACATTTTCGCAACGAGCCCGGCGACCTGTAGATAACAACCAAAACAATTTTCTTCGATCTCTCCAACATCATGTCCAGACAATTAGCAGGGACGCAATTGAGATATGCCCAAAGAGTAGGACACTCGAGAGCGACTTGGCGCCAGTGCCTGCAGACGTGGGTGATTATCATAGAAATAGGAGCACCATTAGGGCGGGGTGTGCCTGTATGACTCTTGAAAGTGTCCTCTTCTACGATGTATGTGAAGATAGTAGTGAGAATCTCGAGTGGAAGCCAGGATATATAGGAGAGACTGATCCTGTGAGAGCGACGGCCACGCAAGGACTCGGCTAATGCAGCTATGTCTTTGTCGACGTGGCCGCGAGTCGTATCGCAGTGCTCAATGACGCTGGACCCCATTCTAGGGATGATATCTAGGGAATTAGAAAGCATCATCATGGATGACCTACGAGGGTAATCAGTCTAGTCCAATGTGAAATCTCGGTCAGAAGAATTACCTCTCGTTGTTGAGGAGGCTGAATGCAAATCGATGAGTTTGGAACACTGAAGCTCGTGTTACTAATACCTGAGTACCGAGTATATAGTATGTCGTATCGTGCCCCCCGATCGCGAAATGGGCAAGCTTCAGCGTGTTCTTGGTCGAATTGCGAGCGGGCAGTGAGACGTTGGAAGTAGAGTTTGCTTCAACAGGCTCCAGATGTGATCCCGCCACAGTATGTTGTGGCTTCTACCCATAACTTGAATTAGCGGGGCTGACCCAAGCCCTCTGACAGCTTCTGATGGCTGGGAAATTGGGAATGATTCAAATGACATTGACAGTATTTTCCCGCGCTTACCATATTTCTCATAAGGCCAAAGTCACATTACATCAAGCTTTCGAACCGCGGTTTTCACCACTCGTGATGGGTGAACTCTTTTCGTACGGTTTCTTCGAGGGACCGTCAACATTAAACCCAACATGTTCATCTTTCGTGACTGAAGGAACCGTATGTCTTCCACCAGTTCAAATCCCATTCTACTTCTCCCTCCGCCAAAACCTATTCGACGGCATTCCAGACACACATATCGCACTCGCTGCCCCCGTGCTCGCTTATTGGCTCCTATCTTTTGTATTCTACTGCCTCGACATCTCTGGCTGGCGATGGCTGGATAAATATCGCATTCACGACTCAGAGGAGGTCAAATCTAGGAATCTGGCTACTCCTTGGGAGGTCGCACGAGCTGTCCTATTCCAGCATGCGACGCAAACTGTGTTGGGTTTAGCATGGTTGGCAGAGTCGCCAGAGATCTCGGTTGCGCGGTGTCAGAGCGAGATGGAGGCCTTGGGAAGAACACTGATATGGGTTGCGCGACGTCTTTTGGGAGAGGAAACAGGAATGATGTTTTTGGAGCTGAGGGGGCCTGGGATAACCCATTGGCTGTACTGGTGGGGAATTCCAGCTGCCCAGATCTTATTCGCGCTGTGGGTATCATTCAGAATCTGGTTTGACTTCCCTTTAATGAGTCTCCTCAGGTTCATTGTCGATACCTGGCAGTACTTCCTCCATCGCTTGATGCACACGAACAGATATCTCTACAAGAAGATACACTCTGTGCATCACAGACTTTACGTCCCCTATGCCTTTGGGGCATTATATAACCATCCTTTCGAGGGCTTCTTGTTAGACAGTGCAGGCGCGGCATTCGCGGAGAGCCTCTCGCATCTTTCCGTTCGACAAACTATCTTCCTCTTTGCATTCAGCACTTGCAAGACTGTCGATGACCACTGCGGATACAGTCTCCCATTTGATCCATTCCAGATGATGAGCGGAAACAACGCAGACTACCATGACATACATCATCAGGTATGTTCCTTCACTACCGTCCGCTCCTGTGCAGTGCTGACGACGAGTACAGGCCGTCGGAATAAAATCAAATTTCTCACAGCCTTTCTTCGTCCACTGGGATGTCCTACTCGGGACGCGCATGACCAGAAAGGATATTCAAGACCGCAGAAACAAGGTCAAGAAATCCTGATACACCGATTTCGATGTTATTCCACATAGATATTCGGAATTTGGGGTTTCTTTTATTCAATTCAGGACTACACGGTTCGCTCACCCAACCTAATGTTTTTCGTTCGCCACCCTTCTTGCTGTATAATCCTAGGTTATAAGAGCTACGATAATGTTTCTGACTTAACTCCCTTATGACCCCTATCTATGCATTATGAAATTGTCGTATCCATTACTGACTAGGGTTCGAATCTGACCTTGCTTGCCTGCATGGTCATGGATTTTTCCGTCGGCCCAGCGATTATCGATTAGGCACTATGCAGCTGGCACCATTTTCAACATCCAATCGTTTTTTGTGTGCCCTAGTTTGGCATCCTATTGCAGCTGCTCGGTCTCTGCGACTGAGTACTGATGGATGTTCCTCTGTCTCGCCTTGTTTAAACTACTCAGACCTTCGGGCGTCCTGACCTCGGATGGCTTGTCACCAAAGGCTGACCTCAGCCTGGCAAGTCCAGTAGTGGCTTTATCAGGCACGAGTCAGGAAACTCTGGTCATATTCGCGTGCTTTGCCTTTTTTCGTCTCATGTGGTTGCGTATGATACTGCTCTGTGAGTCAATTTTGATTATGTATGTGATACAAATCTGACTACCCTATTAAAAAGATAGTTGATTAATACTATTTCGTCTTCTGATCAGTTCGTTATGGCGTTTCTGGCCGATTGTGTTTGTTTCATGATGAGTATACTACCTTTCACTGCTTCTTGGTCTCCACTCAGGCTTCCCATTCGTGCTAGAACGTGATTCGTCGGCATACCAGTTCCGGGCCTTTCGAGAAATAGCGTATACCGGTTATCCAGTGTCGTAACCGAGTCCGGTATTGTTGTAAATGTTCGTCGAAGGTATCGTCGTGTTGCTGTACAGTCGTCTGCGTTGTGTTACCCGACCCAGTAATTGACGTATAGATCGTCCAGTGTGGTCTCTCTCTCTACCCCATCTCGCATTGGCATTGGTACTAAGAAGGGTCTATAACGTGCCGCTCCGTGAAACAAGCCTTTGAAAATTTGCTTGAAATGCTGTACGTTTTCCTTAGCCTCTTGTTGTGTTTGCTACTGATACGCTTACTGGTAGGCCACATTTTCGGTACCCGATGAATCGCGATAGACATTCATTTCGCAGAGTCTCCCACCTCCTCCAGGAATGATGATTTGGCAGATGTTTGCCGCTCTTGTTGCAGTCGTACCTTTTTCAACTGCTGTTCTTCATAATCTTGTAATCGCGCAGCTTTTGCATCTGCAGCTGACACCACTGCGAATTGAAGAGGTGCAGAGTGTCGAACTGATGACAAGAGACTATTTTGGTTTCGTTTTTCAGCGCGTGAAAGTTTGAATTTATGAACAGCGAAACCGATTTCATTGACGGTGAGCTGATTTGGCACGTTTTCGAATGGCAAACACCAAGATAAATGCGCATCGTGAGATTGCGCTGACTGTATCCCGCTGAACGTCACACTTTGCTACAGCGGCGCTAAACAGGGCAAGGACCGACTCCTTTATACAATACCTGCAGTCATGGACACGGTTTACGTGGAACGCGCTCCGCTTGCAAGTGCTGCGAAAATAGTCCTGCACGAAATATGAGTCCTCGGAGGGAATTAGCGAAGAGGAGAATGAGTGTCTTACGATTGTACAAGGTTCTTCGTGTACTCGGTAGTCAGGTCCAATCCGTAGAAGGCGTGCAGGGCAGTCGCGCGCATATCGGGCGCTGATCGCATGCGTACCATGAAAAAAAAGTGAGATCATGACAATGGAAAGAAACTGACTGTATGCACATCCTTTTATCCTCTGCATCGGATGGTTGTCCCAATTGCCGATCTCGTCGCACTAGTATGGTAGTGTGATGCGGCCTCACGGGTTTCTCTAACAGCACATGGGAAGATAAGTGGTGGTTGGAGATTTCCATTTCCTTGTGTGTCCGTTTGGTGGGGAAATACTTTTATGAAGAGAAAAGAAAATCCCAAGGGTATGAATATGCCATGAGAGTGATGAGTACCGAGCAGACTCTGCTGAGCTGTTTCCGCGATGCCAGTTGATCCAGAGAGCGAGTGTAAAGCCTTGGCTACTAGTAGGAATGCTATCTACCGCAAGTATCCGTGAGCATTTGAAAAGACGGTTACGTTGAGAAGGCGTATTGCTTGCCCCGGAGGTGCGGGGGTCAAATGACTTGTATCTTGTTGATGCGCATCCCATGTGGAGTAACAGCTTCGACTGAATTTGTCTTAAGCTTGTAGCTTTCTTCAACGAGTTAAGTCTGTTTATCTGCGAAAATTTACGATTACCTAATGTAAACGCTGTAAAGCAGATTCCTCCCAAGATTCCTCCGCTACCCAACAAGGGTATGTCACGGTCACACAACGCCGAGCAACCTGAAGATACCTACGCGCGGCCCCCACGACGGCAGCTGCGACAACGGACGGTTGGGCTTAGAAGACGGATGGATAGATGGATTGTATCAGTAGAGTAGTAGGAGACTGTTATACATGATTCTGGCACGCACCATATCATTTAGTAGTCCGAAGTCAGACATTCAGAATGAATATTTCAAATGAGGGTTCGAGAACGACAAAGATGCATCAGAGTCGCACCTTTGTTCTGCAGGCCTCCCGTTGTGAATCAACGAGAAGGTGAGTGAAAATTTACAATTATTAGTAGATGTTGAGGGATATCCCGGCAGGCGCACGCGCCTGCCGGGAAAATTTACAAACTTTACAAACTTTACCGTAAATTTTTCACTGTCCCGCACTTCACTCACTTTACCCACCAGAATTCGCACTTTACTACACTTTACTCTACCTCGCGCCTGTCCTTCTGCCCTCCCCATCCTACTCAGTTGCCATAAATGGTGACTTAGACAATACGGTCACATGACACATGATGTGTCTTCTCCGTCGCCTCCCATCTTCCTCGACGGTCGTTAACGTTGGCCCCCCCCTCGCGCCTGTCCTTCTGCCCTCCCCATCCTACTCAGTTGGCCCCCCCCTCGCGCCTGTCCTTCTGCCCTCCCCATCCTACTCAGTTGCCATAAATGGTGACTTAGACAATACGGTCACATGACACATGATGTGTCTTCTCCGTCGCCTCCCATCTTCCTCGACGGTCGTTAACGTTGGCCCCCCGTATTGCACACACCCTTCCCCAGTAGCGAAATTTATAGGTAAGTGATTTTCCTTTATTGCTCGCTTATCCCGCTGACCCTGCACCAGAATTCTCCCTGTTCGTCGTGAAATTGTCCTGGGTATCCTATTCACTCAGCCGCAACAGTCTACTAGTCAACAAAGATAATCATCGTGAGTTCCTTTTGTTTCTTCATATATCCAGTATGTTCGGTTACCGACTTTATTGATTCAGGAGCTGCTTGGTGTATCCTCCGTTATTCAGTCAGACTCTCTCTTTGCCAAGGACCTGAAAGTGAAGACTGAACAAGCAGTTCAAGACACGATTGTCGCAACCAACATCATCGAGGGCTTTAAAAACCCGCATCAGAGCGCAGCATATCTCAAGAATCATGCTTCATTCCCTCTGGAGTATGTGTAGATCATCGATGTGAAGTAACTCGAAGTGTTGACATGTTGCTGGCTAGATTCTTCACCCGTGTCACGCAAGAGATGCAGGAGCGTCTGCAGTGGTTCAAAAACACTATCGAAGTATGATGCCGTATTTTTGGTAACACCCTGAAGTATTCTAATACATCGAATAGCAAATTGAGCAGAAACTATCTGCATCGGCATCTCAGTCTCAAAATACACCCCAAGGTTAGACTTTCCTTCGCTCCACCCTCATCCTCAGCTTACATTTCGCTGTGTTGTCTTGACAAGACATCGAAGACTACCAAAACCTATGATCACTGGACCTCCGCCCAGAACTCCTTCAAGGGCGTTTCTGTCACGCTCGTCCACCAGTTTCAGACCGCCGCTCTTGCTGTTCTCAAGCAGAACAATGTTCGTGCACTGGACCTCCGCCCAGAACTCCTTCAAGGGCGTTTCTGTCACGCTCGTCCACCAGTTTCAGACCACCACTCTTGCTGTTCTCAAGCAGAACGACGTTTGTGCACTGGACCTCCACCCAGATTCACCACAGTTCAGCCAGTTCAAGAACTCCTTCAAGGGTGTTTCTGTCGCGCTCGTCCACCGGTTTCAGACCACCGCTCTTGCTGTTCTCAAGCAGAACGACGTTTGTGCACTGGACCTCCACCCAGATTCGCCACAGTTCAGGCAGGGCATTTCTGTCATGCTTGTCCACCGGCCGGGCCTCGAAAATATCCAAGGATTGGTTGCCAACGCTGGAAACTTTGAGTTTGAGAACACGACGGTCAAGGTAGGTTTTCATACGAATCACATCCATAACAGCTTCTCTCAGTGCGAGTGCAGGACTACTTCAAGAAAGCTTGGGGTCGCGGCAGCAGCATCATGGTTCTGTATGCGCTAGTGTTTGGTTTGGCAGATGGTATCCTACGGTACTCACTCTTGTGCTCAGTATGTAGTTGAAATTCAGTGTGATGCTTTACTAGTGTAGTCTACTATGTGTTACGACAGTGCGGGTCAATCAAAATTGAGAGCCAAGTGAATTTTAAAACACGGAGTGACATCATACCCTCTGAAATTTTGGAACTGTCCCACCAATTACCTCTGTCTTGTGTTTTACCTCCCGCATGGCACGATCAAAGAAGGCAGCATCGGACGCCATTCAAAAGAAGCCGAGGCGGAGGAAAGAATCAGCTATCCCGAAGTCAGCTTTGGCTGACATCCAGAAATGCAAGGAACTTGGAATTGAAACGCACCTCCAAGCAAACAAGACCAGGAGCAGCTATGCTGGCCATGTACGCCGGGGACGCGAGTGGCTCGCGAGCCATTTTGATGCACCAAGCTGCTCCACTGACGAGGGGGACTGCTCAGTGCTCAAAGAGCCTTTGGTACAGCCGGTGGCACTGTCAGTGCCCTCTTTCGTTAGAGACAATCCAGACAGCGATGTGTATGCAGATCCTGCCTTCAAAGATGTGTTTGGGTGCACGCCAAACCGATGCTCCGACAAGGCGCTGGCCCTCTTCATGTCCCTGAAGGGGTTCCACGAAAACCTCAGCAAGAACACGGTCGAAAGTATCCGCGCAGCATTCAAAAAGCTCTGGGAGCAAGCGTGAGCAACACCCTGCAGGACCGATACAGACTGAGAGTACTACTGACTTTTACCAGGGATGGCGGCACATTTCGTGGAAAGTGGAGTTTCAATGAGGTGAGACAGCGCTGGGAGGGAAATCCAGCCGACTCAGCGGAAGTTTACGATGTGATGGCATCTGTCAAGCACAAGGCCAGCGCAGAGGGCGGAGATCGAACTCACTCGATGGCAATGACAAAAGACTTCATGGATCGCATGCTCCAATGGCATGAGGCCGCATGCCCGCTGGAGATCGCACTGCAGGCCGTCCAGCTAGTGATGAGCGGCACACTGCCTTCGCAGGTCCAACTGACTCTTGACACAAGGACCCAGCTCAGTCGCCATCTTGAACAGGTCACTTTCGATGCTGGCGCATGGACCTTATGGAGCAGGTATTGTCCCACCTGCCGAAATTGATGTGCACTCGCTGACTTACCATTTTGGTAGGTGCTTCGAACTCGTGAAACTACAGCGCAAAGACATCTCGCTCGACACAATCCTGCTGGACACCGTCATGAAAAAGTATCTGGCATGCGAGCCACTGACACTCAGCGACAGCAACACCTATTTCGAAATATTCCTCTCGAACCGAAAAGGATGGCAGAAAAGGGTCGATAAGGGCATCTGCGAGGCAGACCTTAGGTGTGAGTTGATTCAGATTAGCATGAAGTGACGCCCTGCTGATGTAGCAGTGTATGTGCCTCACACCAGCCAACCACTACAAGATATTTCCCCGCCCAGACATGCCTTCCTGCGACAGCTTCATCTGGATGTTGCTCTGGATCAAATGGCTCGAGTTTTTTCATTACGGGCGCACACTCGGGCCAAACGACTTCATCTTCCCTTCGATGGGTGCCAATGGCATCATGCAGCCTGGACAGCCTCTCTCCCATGACACTGTCCAAAAGTGGATTGACGAGGCAATGACAGGTGCTGGCATCCTAGGCTGTTTTTCGACTCACTGCTTCCGCCGTGGAGGTGCCCAGTATTGGTTTATGTTCGCACCGGTTGGTCAGCGGTGGTCACTTGCCATGGTTCGATGGTGGGGAGGATGGGCTGATGGTGAACAGGTATGTGCCTTCAATGATCTACTTTTTTCTCGCTCTCACTCGTTCATTCCATTCCCAGCGAAACACGCTCATTCGTTACCTTCTCGACGAACTACACACCTATGAGACTGACTACAGTGATGCCCTCGCTCCTTTCTCCCGCAAAGCTGAATCCTCCCTTGCAGGCGAGCAGGCACTCATGAGGCCAGCATCCACTGAGGAGCTGCGCATGGTTCATGCATCCATGACCGCAGATGTCAATCATTTGCGAGTTGACATCAGTGCAGTCAACGACTCGCTTCGGTCACTCACTAGCATGGTCCAGGCCACTTCAAGTTGCCTGAAGGCTGCTGGACACCTACCTCCAACACAGCTCGAAGAAGATCCCCGCTTCACCCTTCTCCGAGTCTCCGCATCCAGTGCAGAGTCTCCTCAGATTTCAACTCCTCGGCATGTCCGTCCACCACCAACACACTCCCGTCCTCTGTCATCTGTCCGCAGGAGCCATGGCCATGCACACATCACTCCAACTACTCGACCACTGCCATCTGCTGCTGCGCACACAGCCTCGACTCAACAACTCCCAAGCAACGGTCTCGTCATTCCACGGCTGCCACTCGTCCGTTCGAACGGGTTGAAGACTCCAAAGGCCGAGTCCTGGAGGGACATCATCACACACTGGCTCGTCGGCGACCCCGACAGAGGGTTGAAGACGCCACTCAAGGACTGGCCGCAGGAGTGGTACCAAGGCCCGAACCGGAAGCTCGCAATGCAGTACCAGAACAGGGCCGTTGTTGCGCGCGAGTTCATCAACCAGTGAGTGCTTCCGGCTGCGATCCACACGTCGGCGCTCACACATTCTTTTGTTCTTTCTTCCTCGTCACCTCCAGTTACCAGTCAGACGAAGCCCTCTTCCTTGCAGCCTACCCAGAAGCCGAGCGGGGACACACCCCACTGCTTGCAGCTGTCAACAAGGCACGGGCTGCACGAGGAGAGCGTGTCCGTCGCAACAAATGACATGGAGGACTCTCACTTCGGAACCATACCACTACTGCCGCCCACTCGAACGCTCGTAACTTGTAAGTACTATAACCACGAATCACTTCATATTGCAAAGGCCACATGCCAGGACTGTTGATACTGTACATTCCCGCACCTACTTCTCTACCCTAGGTACTTCCTCGCCGTACTCTCTCCTTCCCAGCACTAGTTAGTTCCCCCAACTCTTTCGTGCTTCTTTCCTCCGAGTCCGTCTTTCCCGCGTGCCTTCTAAGTTCTTGCAAGTTGGTTTCGAATGTTCTGAGGTCCGGGAGGTCCACGCCAACGACGAAAATCAGATGCAAAGCCTAGTGAGCGAGCGAGCGAGTGAGTGAGCAGGCCTGAACCTGCGCGTCGGCGGCCGTCACGCCCTCCGCTTTTTTCGTACCCATCTGCGTCCGTTTGGCGCAATCACGCGTCACGACCGCCGTCACGCAGTGATCCGGCTCGAAAAGGGCAAAGATCGAGACCACGTGCGCGCACGTGGGACTTTTGGCCGAGCGCCACCGTAAATTTCTCAACATAAGTATTTTGCACAGCATAATGACTTTGAAGTATCTGTCAGAGTCGTGAATTGACTGTTATGTACTCGTGTGAACTTCGCTTGTATAGCAAGCAAGTTGGCTCGAAAACACCTCAGGACCTCAGGTTGGTGTGTTCGCCAACGTCCTGGTGACTGACACGTTCGTCAGGGAGTAACACGAATAATCCCCAAGCATATCCATCCCATTCTTCGGGAAGCGATTCAGGCATGACACGTGATGAGCTTTCGTTGCCACGGGCCACGGTGGCACGACCACCCCACCAGGTATTTGTCCGAATCACTATGAAGGCATCGAAAAATATGGAAAATGATGCTGCAACTGGCCCAAATTCTGAGCGTGGAAGGAAGATCCTGGATCCATTAAAAAGACTGAATCGGACCGAGGTAGAGACAATGCAGTCCACATACTTTAAGTGAGTGCATCGATTCCTCTCCGCTCCCGCACAACAAGCCAGTTGCACGAATTCAGAAGGCATTCCAGATTAGCTATGTGGAGACCGGGAGAACTCGCCAACAAAAGTATTTCATACCGGGTCGCAGATGTTGGTGACAGGCACGAGTCCCCGGATGCCCTTTGGAGTTACTACATCCATTATGGGCTACAGTGCACGAACCACTTCATGGTTCCTTCCGATGACTCTCTTCCTCGTCAGCAATGAACTCAACCTGCCCGTTTTTCGTGATAGGCAAAACCGTGTGCCTCTCCCTGGTCAGAATCCCATTCTACTTTTCTCTGCACCAAAACATATTCGATGACATTCCAGACACCTACGTCGCACTTGGTGCGCCAGTGCTCGCTTTTTGGCTCATGTCTTTCATGTTCTACTGTCTTGACATCTCTGGCTGGCAATGGCTGGAGAAATATCGCATTCACGAGTCCAAGGAAGTCAAGTCCAAAAACTTGGCGACACTTTGGGAGGTCGCATGTGCTGTTATATTCCAAAATGTGATGCAGACTCTGATAGGTTTTGCGTGGTTGGCAGAGCCGCCAGTGATCTCGGTTGCGCGGTGTCAGAATGAGATGGAGGGCTTGGGAAGAACACTGGTCTTAGTCGTGCGAGGTCTCTTTGGGGAGGAGACGGGGATGAAAATATTGGAGCAGTGGGGGCCTGGGATGACCCATTGGCTGTACTGGTGGGGAATCCCAGCTGCACAGATATTCTTCGCGATGTGGGTGTCATTTAAAATCTGGCTTGATCTCCCTCTAATGAGTCTCCCAAGGTTCACCGTCGATACCTGGCAATACTTCATACATCGCTTGATGCACACAAACCAATATCTCTACAGAAAGGTCCACTCAGTGCACCATAAACTTTATGTTCCTTATGCCTTAGGGGCATTATATAACCATCCCTTCGAAGCCCTTTTGATGGACACACTAGGCATAATCATTGCAGAGCAAGTCACCCATCTTTCTATACGACAAGCCATTTTCTTCCTCGTGTATAATACGTGCAAGGGTGTCGGCGATCACTGCGGATACAATTTCCCATTTGATCCCTTCCAACTGATCAGCAGAAGTAACTCAGACTATCACGACATACATCATCAGGTATGTCCCTTTGCTACCACCTGTCCTCGAAAGCAGTGTTTAGGAGGCGTATAGGCCGTCGGCATCAAGTCAAATTTCTCACAGCCTTACTTCATCCATTGGGACATACTTCTTGGCACGCGCATGACCAGAGAAGACATTCAAAAACGTGGACAGAAAGTAAAGATGACGTGATGCATCGAACCTGATTATGGCACATAGAGATTTGAAGTTTGGTTTTCGCCTGTATGATCCTAGGCTCTCTTTCTTTTTCCTAGGTTTTATGTGGCGGTTACAGACCACTGACAGCACTCCCTGCTGTACCATGTGATTTATTCGTACCTTCTTCTTACCTTACAGTCTCTCGTCTACCTAGGTCATCATCGCCGCTTCCCCAGTTTTTCACAAAGAGAAAAAATCTCTCACTCATACTCTCTGCAAGCAAGTATGACTAAGTTTACTCCATTCAGACTTCCGATTATGCAAGTTCAACTCCACACCGAATCTACAATGTTTAACACTCCTGAGACGGTGACCATCAGTGAATTCATGAGTCCTTGATTTTGTAGCCGTGGGAAGTATAAGATGATATCATTTTGCTACGGCTGAATATACCTATGTATACAGCAATAAATATTAGTTATCGGTACATAGCCATGAATCTCTGAAAATTCATTTTACCATGAGGAGTTCGCAACAAGATTACAACATTGCGCCATTGCAGCAATCAATATGCAATAGCATGGTTAAGTTATATTTGTTGACTCATGCCATGTTCCCTCATTTATGTTTTAAACTACCAAGTGATATAAGACTTTATCGTGGAAAGAACCGTTAGCACTTGTAACCTAATTTATATTCTTATGAGAGCTTCAACCAGCGAGGTATGATAGTGTAATTAGGTACCGTTTGTTGAGCAACATCATATTACCTCATTTATTTTTGACTTACAAAACTATATAGATCGGTTCAAATATTGCATGAATTACAATGTCATCCAAAATCATGCACGGGACTATCACCTCAGCCTCAAATTTTACCTTAGAATTTTCGGACAACCTCAAATCATGTGACCAGCGCAAGTGGTTGAAATTGATTTGTCATTGTTTGCGCAGGACGGAAATTTACACGCAAGTTCCTTTCAATCCTTCTTTCACCGCTACTACCACCACCTCTCGACTCAGCATCTTCATTCCTCCCATTTGTGGTGGTCCCTCCCTGGCCTTTTCCCTGTGGTACCTCCTTGGCCGTTCATGGTGGTTCCTGCCTGGCCGTTTGTGGTGGTTCCTCCCTGGCCGTTTGTGGTGGTTCCTCCCTGGCCTTTCCTCATGGTTCCTTCCTGGCCGTTTGTGGTGGCCCTTCCTTTCCTTGTGGCCCTTCCTTTCCTCGTGGTTCCTTCCTGGCCATTCGTGGTGGTCCGTCCTTCCCTCATGGTTCCTTCCTCTGGCCGTTCATGGTGGTCCTTTCCTTTCCTCGTGGCTCCTTGCTGGCCTTTTTTCATGGTTCCTTGCTGACCTTGGTCCCTCCTTTCATTCATCTCTCCGCTATCTTTTCCTCTTTTCTTTTTGTCCTGTAACTACATATGTAGTATTTAAATATAAATAAAATTAATTTGCTTCACAAAACGAGTGCTGAGGATGAGAATAATTTGATACTGGTGACAAAATGGCAGGTTGTTGTAGGCAATCTGTCATGCTGGCGCTTTTGGTAGTTCTGTCTAACTTACTCCAGGTAGTATCATTCTCGCAGATATCATGTAAATTTTGCAATTAGATAAAGCATTGTAAAGCTTTATATTTTCACGTCAATTATTTGATGCTTCGGAGTTGTGAACCTCCCTTTCGTTATGGCATTTCATAACATTTTATACGATAATCAGGGACGCGTCTTTCCTCTATAAGGTCAAACATAACAATGTGATTGTCGATAGCAAAATTATGCTAGTTCTTGCGATTATGTACTATATATTGTTATTTATTGCTATCTACTTTCCTCACGGGTTCACTGATGCGCCCGTGTTGCCGGGCACAGTGAGAACGAGGGAACGCATTTCGTTTCTCATTCACAAATTGACCAGGACACACTTGAAGGAACACGAAGACCCTGGTTGGCACGCTACTTGGCTTACCAGAGAAGTTTGCACCCAGCCTCTTTGTCCTGGAACTAATTCAGGCAGGGTCGCTATTAGTACGCCCTTTGTACATTGTCCGAGCCATGCCACCGCTGACGCCTTTATCCTTCGAGATTTAGTTACTTGTTCCTGTACAGGATCTGATGAATAGAACAGTTTATCTCATTTTGAATCACATTCTTTATATCTGTATCGACAGCTGCAGGAACATCACTAGCTCCCACTCGCCCTCAACTCAATCCGTTACTTTTATGTCACATGGAGACTCACTCTGGAACAACGACAGGTAATCTTTCTCTGTGAAATTTTGTAAGAACTAGACTGATTACTTCCACAGGTCCTCATCGATTGTCGATGACACTTTCTGTTTCTGTAGATGGAAGCGAGACTGCCCTCATTGAGCAGTGCGGCGCTCACATTGGCGAAGACACGGTTTCATCATCCGAGTCTGTGCCCGCCCTCCGCTTTCAAAAGAATACTCTCGCCCATCTCCCAGTCGAGATTCTTGCGAATATATTTATGTACATCGTATCAGAGGAGGAGAGTTATATGGGCGTATCCAACCCTCGCGGTGCTCCTGCGTGTCTGGCGGCCACGCACGTCTGCACTCTGCAGGCACTGGCGCGAAACCGCCCTCGAGTGCTCGACTCTTTGGGCATTTATCGATGGCGTCTCTGCTCAGTGGCTAGCCACCATGCTGGAGAGGTCGAAGAAAGCTGCCCTGGTCGTCATTTACAATGATCCCAAACCGCTACGACAATGTGGCTTTGAGAAAATTCTTTTACAGTTGCCTCGAATCAAATTTCTCCAGTTGTGTCCATCTCCACCGGAGGCTGATCGCATTTTGGACTGCTTGTCATCGCTACCCGCACCGTTGCTTCATACATTCAAATTCGTGGTCTTTGGGAACGCGACATTCGCTAAGCCCATATCGGACACCATTTTTCAAGGAGAAGCACCCCGACTTCGGAGCGTCCAGCTCGTGCAATGCTACTTCAGTTGGACATCATGTATTTTCAGTGGGCTTCGCTCTCTTCATATAGGATTGTCCCCTAAGCGTAGTCCTCTGTCGCAAATCCTCTCGGCTCTGAGACGCATGCCTGAATTGGAGCTACTTACGCTTGAACCTCGAAGTTCCAAACACTCTGACGCGCCCTTCGATCAAGTTGCACTCCCTCGGTTGAGAAGGGTAGAGCTGTCTAACTCTACTATCCACATTGCTACATCCTTCTTTTTACATCTAGTCCTTCCCGTTGATGTCTGGGTTGTCCTAAGCCTCACGAAAATCGAAAGCGCTCAAAGTTTTTGCTGATCTATTTTCGGCCAATACACAAGAATCATGACGAATCTGTTCCCGTCATTCGGTCCCTACGTGTCAGCCTTTTGCACGACCTTTTCACACTCCGGTTCAGTACGTCAATACCTGAGCATCCGTGGGCCCCTCGTGACAGTCATATACGACTCTCCATTGCATTCTTACACAATTCATGGATCACAAAACCAGACATCTTATTTGACATTTGTCGTGTGGTCCCGCATCGCAAAATCCAACATCTGGTTGCGTCATTCCCCGGCCTCGATACTACAGAGTTTTGGCGCACGGGGTCAGTAGACCTTCCAAAGCTCAAAAGTATCCATCTGGACGACACCCCTATTCAAGGCTTGCTCCTTGCGCTCCTGGTCAGAAATGAGTAGAGCCATCCAGCGTATCCCTCGCTTCGCGTTTTAGAGCTTGGGAATATCAATTTAGGATGTAAGGAACGTTTGTTTCTTGAGCAGGTTCTCACTGTGCTCCGAGCCGGCCGTAGTGTCGGCATACACACGCTCCGACTGACGAGGTGCAGGAATCTGATGTGCGATGATGTGGCACGACTTCAGACAACGGTTTTGGTCGATTGGGACAGGCATGAAGATGCGTTAACGGACACCGACGGTGGTTGTCTTTGCCGCAGCTGCAACGATAACGATTCTGAATAGTATATGGTTTAAACGCTGTTGTGCTTTCCGGGGACTTATTTTAACATGTCCGGACCTAATATATGTATGGATACTTGTGAGCATGTTATCAGTGCACGGTGAGAACAAAGAACGCCGACGTGGACCCAATCACAGCTTTCACGTGCACACAGTGCGTCGTCACTCAAGCAAAGACAACCGTTTTCGCTCGAGAACCGCACCTCGGTGAATTTCAGGTATTCATAAGGTAGATACAAATGCAATGCTCTACTCAGATAATCAATTAGTAAGAGATTTAGATAGCAAGGGCCTGCGTTGGTACAAGAGACACAAAAGTGCGCATACAATCACCAGTCGGTTGAGAGGTGGCGACAGTTCGTAATGGTTCGGAAAAAAAAGAAGCATCAGATCTCATGGGAGTAGTCCGAATTTTTAGGATTCGTAAGTGGGTCGTTTTGATAGATCTATTTCAGCGTGGGCATCACTGCTCGTTGAGGTTGTTTAAAAGAGTCGTCAGACATCGTTTGGTGACCATGTCTCCCTATTGATCAGTATCAGCAATGCTCTCTGCTGAAGAGTGCACACGAACCTTGAGAAGCACGCTGAACGTCTGATCACGCAGCGGTTCAGGGAGACAAGCCCTTAGCGCTTCCCTCGCTCTGTAAATTAAATCAGCCCCGCCTACCCGCAAAACAAAACAAAACCCACCTCATATTATCACTAAGCCTCAAATAACACCTCACCACATGCTTCAGCAGCCTAACAGCCTGCGTTTCCACCAACTGATTCACCATATTACTCAAAACCGTCCCCACGGCATAAAACCGCTCGTAAGTGTGGCAAATGTACGTAAGACCTGTTTCGTCGAGTAGGATCTTTTGGACGATGAAGATGGCGACTGTTTTGGAGAGCTCGGAACCCGTTTCCATTATACGGAGACAGAGGGGAATGATTTCGGTTGAGAGGAGGAAGTGGATGACTGTGTTATTGTCGTTTTGCTAGGGGTACGTGAGATTTTGTTTAGGATTTGAATTTGAAATCGAAGGGGGATATGGGGAGGTGAGGGGGAAGAGGGAGAGGAAGAGACGAACCTTGACGAGGGCGCCAATAACGCCTAGGGAAGTGAGTCTGAGGTATTCAAACGGCCGCGTTTTCGAGGTCGTGTTCAAGAACGGGTATAAAAACAACGGGATATGCGCTGTTGTCATAAATAAAAAGTCAGCCCGAACCCTACCAACCCAACCCAAGCACAAAGCCCACCATTCAAGAACAATTGTCTCGTATCCGGATGCGAAGCCACGCACTGGAGTAACGCAAGGGCATTGCACACTCGGTTCGATACGTGTGCTGTGAGGTTAGGAGGGGAGAGGAGGGGGTAGACGGATACTATTTCTTGTAATAGCGCTGGCATGATACCTGTACATTCCAATCATCAGCGTGCGACACCACATTAAACATCAATGAGCGCCAGTAAACCAACAAAACTCAATCAAAAAAACCCACCAAAGGAATGCCAAAGCACCAACGCAAGCTCCTCATACTGCTCTCTCTTCTTACTCAACTCCAGCAATGCAGCCTCGCGCGCATTAGGATCCGTAAGGTCAATGACTAGACTATATATTTTGCTCTCTTCTTGAAGACCCATGATGTGTTGGTGTGGGTGCAGGGATGGCGTATGGCTCTGAGTGTGGGTGTGGGTGTCGGAGTATCCGGATAGCGCAGACCCCGCTAGGCGCTGCTGCTGCTGTTGCTGCTGTTGCTGTTGCTGGTATGGGTTGAACTGTCCAGCATGCTGGAGGTATGAGAGCGGTTTGGGGGAGATGAGCCCCGCCATGGCCATGGTTTTTGGGAAGCGTGGTCAGTGGATGTGAACAGCAAGGAACATGTTTACGCTGGAGCGATTGCCCTGATGTGTGTTTGCTTAGTAAGCTATCTTTGTGACGGCCCGGGACCCTACAGCAACAAATCGCGATTATTAATGGGTTGATAGTATACGCAAGTCCAGGCGTCGTATAGCATGTAAATCCACCACAGACTAGCCAGCAAACTAGCGCTAAATAGACGAAAAACTGGAAAATGAATTGAAAGAAAGACTCGACCCCCTCAAAAACCAAGAAGAGCCAAAGAAAATCCAATAAACTACAACGGAAAGCTCATAGAACAAATGGCGATGAGTGTCAGAAACGGACTTGTTATGTGTCATGTTAGAACAAATCGAAGGTATCCGGTGAGCAGCGCACTTGAAGTGAGTTGATAAGGAAAGCGAGCAACAGCAACCAAGATTAGGTCCCCGAAATGAGTGAATGGGGCATGTGTGGGAATCGGGTGCCGTACATATCGACAAGGTACATGGGGGAATATTTGCAGATACATCGTCAGCGGTCGTCATTTCGTCTGGCGGGTTGGGGTGGGGTACGGATCACGAGTAGTTCTTCTCCAGGACCCGAGGCATCTTCTCCATTCGGACATCATCGCCATCAAACTCGCTTTCGTCGTGCTCATGTACGACGCTGACGCCCTCGACCGGTGAGTCTGCTACGGGTGTTACAGGTCGACTTGATACGAGTCCGCCTGTGGAGGAAGTTGCAGTGATGGTTGATACGATCTGTTGATTCTGGGGATAGTATGATCGCCGGAGCATCTTCTTGAAGTCATATGATGCAAACCTATGTCAAATTAGAAGGATGCGAGGAAAAACATAGTGAAAGTGCGCACTGCTCTTCCATTTGTCTCATTTCGGTGCTCAGCGTGTTAACATCTCGTGTCTTCCGTGCTTTAGCCTTCAACGGATTGTCTTCAAGCAACAGTTCTTCCAATTCGTGTGATGCATCAAAGTTTGCCTTCTTTGACTGCGAAGGGATTTAGAAAGTGGATACTATTCGGACTAAAGAAGGACCCACATCGGGAGTGAACGGTGGTGGTAATTCTTTGGATTCAAGTGCCGCCCAGTCTATCGGTTGAAACCAGGGGTGTCGTTGCATTACTTCATAACCATCGTTTTGCTTGCATGTCAGTCTTTTGGAAGGGTCACGGTCCAAGAACTGAGGGAAATCAGCACAAGATAACAGGCGGTATGACCAACTCACCCCTTTCAATGCCATCATGCCTGCTCGCGAACACTTCTTATCGGCGTCGTCGGGAAAGCGTAAGCTGTCTTTGCTGATGCTATGGGTTAAGTCGGCGTTTGTCTTGCCGCGGAAGGGTCTCCGACCAAAGAGGAGCTCATATGCGCAAACGCCCAGACTCCACCAGTCGATCGGGTAAGTATAGCCGCGTTTAGCGAGAATCTCGGGAGCCATGTAAGCCATGCTACCTGCAATGCCAGTAAGCATGCGGCGCTCGCTAAAGTGAACAGCAATATTGAAATCTGTGAGATGTGCATGTCCCCGTTCATCGAGGAGGATGTTATCCGGTTTGAGATCGCTGGTGAGATAATTAAGAAAGGATAAATAGATCCGGGATCAGATTTATACATACCGGTGCATGATTCTGTGCTCATGAAGGAAGGCTAGAGCTGAAGCTATTTCTGCAACGTAGAAGCGTACTGTATCCTCTGGCAACGAGCCTAACCGTTCGAGGTGAACTGGGTTGAAACGGGCTAAGCAAAGAGGACGACGAGAACGAGGGCAACGTACATCTAAGGTCACCACCAAGCATGAGATCCAAGACGAAGAAACAGTTTTCATCATCTTGGAATGCATAACGAAGGTTAACGACAAATGGATGGTCGATCTTTGGGTGGGATAAGTGGGAAGTAAAGACGATATGGCAAGATACTAACCTCCTCGAGTAATTTTCGCTCCTGAATGATATTTGCAACTGCTTTCATCTTTACGCACTTTGTCTTGTTGATATATTTCAAGGCATACAACTCTCTGGTCTGTTTGTGTTGAACCATTCGGACCTAAAGCCTTGTTCGTTTTGTCAGCGAAGACTGAGGTGTGACGGATACCGACCTTTCCAAAGGCGCCCTTTCCGACACATCTCAAGAGAACAAAGTGAAAGAGATTAACGTCGCCTTCAAAATCGACCGGCTATAAGGATGAATGAGTTAGTTCGAGGTAGAATGAAGGCAAGGATACCTGAGGTCGACAGCAAAGGGCGCCCATAGGGTATTATATGAGGGGTAGGGAAGAGAAGTAAGCTTGGTTGTGCGTTGTGTCCGTCGTGGTCGTCTCAGGCAGATATTCCTGTCACGCTTCGTGTGACGTTGTTTGATGCGTAATTATTTAATTTCTGTCACAGACTTATTTTAGGCATTCATTACTTCTTCCATGACAATACCTCCTCTAGTCGTATTTGGGCCCTCGGGAGTAGGCAAGGGCACTCTCATCAACCGTCTCATCAAAGAATTTCCAAACTCTTTTGGATTCAGTGTCTCTCGTACGGAGGCTTTTTTTCTTAACCCTCTCACACTGTCATTTAACTAGTTCCCATCCCAAAGATACTACCCGCGCTCCACGTCCTGGTGAGATAGACGGCAAAGCATACCACTTTACCACAACCGATAACTTCAAGAAACTCATCT